CAATCACCAGGCGGATTCGAGAGCTTGCTGCAAACTGCATGAGGCTTTATTGTAATTTAACGAGCTAACCCCATGTTATCTTGGGTCTTTCATCCACCCACCATGGCGGATGGCTAGCAAAGACTCTGAGAAGCCACAGTACCGAGATCTTATAGGGCAGCGTAAGGGGAGTGTCTAGGGGTATGCACAGGCTCACTATTGGTGTACCCTTCAGGCTTGGAGGGCTTGCCCTGTGTTGATTGGCCAACTGGTTGTTATGGCCCATAGGCCCTCCCAGGGTGGTTGCTATGATCTGTGCATCATTGCTGTGTGCTTGTCCGTAAAGTACACCCAGGGTTGTAAAGCATAGAGCCACCAGCTAACTTCTGATTGGTTCCTTGTCACGAGGCAGGCATCCAGGACAAGGTCATACAAGCATGGGTGTTTGACTGCTATGACTGCCGAAAGGGGAGCTGGTCCTTTCACTCTCAAATCCTAAACACCTCTGCCACTGCACAAATAAAACATCCCAAATTTGGTACATCTGAGCTTTCTCTGCTGTACACCCCTAAAAGTCTCTTGTTGCAGAATATTCTTTTATTAGTGAAGATACCCTTTATTAGTGAAGATGTGTCACTGTGATTGGTTTAATAAGAGCTGAATGGCCATTAGCCAGGCAGGAAAAGGACTTCTGGGGACAGAGTTCTGGGAGGAAGAAAGGAGGAATCTCCAGCCAGATGTTGAGGAAGCAGGATGGGCAGTTCAGAGTAAAAGAAACCCAGCCATATAAAATAGCATAGATTAAAAGATGTAGGTTAATTTAAATTATAAGAACTAAGGGGACAAGCCTAGGCTAAGGCAATCTTTCATAATTAATAAAAGTCTCCATGTTATTTTTTGTGAGATGGCAGCTTAAAGAAAAATCTATCTATAGCTGGGCAGTGGTTGGTGCACACCTTTAGTCCCAGCACTCGGGAGGCAGAGGCAGGCAGATCTCTTTGAGTTCTTGACCAGCCTGGTCTACAAGAGCTAGTTCCAGGAAAGCCTCCAAAGCCACAGAGAAAGCCTGTCTTGAAAAAACAAAACAAAAATCTATCTACAGTCTCTTATTTTTAAGCTTTTTCTACTTTTTCACTCTTCAAAACCTTAATCTTTATGATTTCTCTGTACTCTACTTTTAAGAAATCTTTTTAAACTATTGTGTAAACACTTATCTCATTATTTGTAAATGCTTTATTGTGATTAAAGAATCTATAAGCACTGTAGTAAAAAGCATAAAACTTGTAATGAAAGCTTGAAACTTAATTTGCTATATATGATTAAACTCTTATTTAGAAAAATAGGTCTACTTACTGTATATGTAACAATTTCAACTCTTGTTTAGGATAATAGATGTTTTTAAATAGCTACAATATGACTTGCCTCCATCTTGGCTGATGACCTCATTAGGATAGAAGCAACCATGTGACTGGCAGCCATCTTTACTAAGGTTAGGAAAGTGCTTGCAATGCAACTTCACCACCTCTTGAGTAAGATGGCTGCATGGCATAAACCAACCAAGGCAGCAATCATAGGATTTCTTAGTCCTACTGAGCCCTTGGTTTATCATGCTCTCTACTTTTTAGACTAAGAAGACAGCAGCAGGTCTCCAAAATATTTTGGATTGCTATGAGTTCTTTTAATTTTATGTGCATTGATGTGTTGCCTGCATGCATGTCTGTGTGAGGGTGTCTGGTCTTGGAGTCATAGACAGTTGTGAGCTGCCATGTGGGTGCTGGGAATTAAACCTGGGTCCTCTAGTAGAGCAGTCAGTGCTCTTAAAACCAGTGAGCCATCTCTCCAGCCCTAGTATGAATCTTTGTATGATAAATCCTAAGGTTATAAAGGTCTACTCAGATTAACAAAAGCTAATTTAGAGATATACAGCTAATTACTTCTATCTTTGCTAACTGTTCAATAACAGGCTTCAAATAAATTTTAAATAAGAACCAACATATTGAAGGAACCGGCTTCCCTTTTGGCAGCCATGACAGCCGAACACGTGCTTGCCATAAACCTGCCTTGGTCACTTAGAGGTCAGATGCCTGTCTTGTGACAAGGAACCAATCAGAAGTTAGTTGGTGGCGCTATGCTTTACGACCCTGGGTGTGCTTTACGGACAAGCGCACGACAATGACGTAGAGAGCATAGCAACCACCCTGGGAGGGCCTATGGGTCATAACAACCCGTTGACCAATCAACACAGGGCAAGCCCTCCAAGCCTGGAAGCACACCAATCGGGAGCCTGTGCGTAAGCCTGTGCATACCCCTAGACACTCCCCTTACGCTGCCCTATAAGATCTTTTGGGAGACCCAAGGAGCCGTCTTTTCTAGCCTTCCGCCATGGCAGGTGGGTGAAAGACCCGAGCTAACATAGGGTTAGCTCGTTAAATTACAATAAAGCCTCGTGCAGTTTGCAGCAAGCTCTCGAATCCACCTGGTGATTGGGGTGACCGAGAACCTGGCCTGAGACCCCGGATACTTGAGTTTTCGGGGGTCTAACAATATGTTTGATTAACCTTGATTAAAGTTTATAAATTCCTAAGGTTATAAAGGTCTTCTTAGGTTAGCAGAAACTGACTTAGAGATGTATGTCTAACCACTTACAACTTTGCTATATTCAACAGCCTTCTTCTAGAAAATAAGGTAACAGCAGGGCAGTGGTGGTGCACGCCTTTAATTTCAGCACTCGGGAGGCAGAGGCAGGAGGATCTCTGTGAGTTTGAGGCCAATCTGGACTACAAGTCAGTTCCAGGGCAGCCAGGGCTGTTACAGAGAGAAACCCAGTCTCAAGAACAGAGGAAAAAAGAAAGAAAGAAAAGAAGGAAGGAAGAGAGAGAGAGAGAGAGAGAGAGAGAGAGAGAGAGAGAGAGAGAAAATAAGGAAATAGAACTGACACATACTTCCAGCCTTGGTGGCTACAGTGTGATCTCCCAGAAAACAAAAACAGGCTTTGAGAGGTGGCTCATGCCTTTAACACTGCATTCAGGAGGATCTGAGTCCAATCACGAATCTTTCTTTAGTAGGGGTGGCAGAGCTTAAGTAGGGCTGGTGGAGCCACACTCTTAAGAAACTATAAATTTGAAGACATGGGTGATTCATTGTGTGCTGGGGAGACAGCCAAAGGAGGTCAACTCTTGGTGCATGCAGTATTTCAGCCATGCCTGGCCACATACTCTTCCATCTTTCCCCGTCCTTCCCAGTATTTTACATCAAATTTTTAAGTGTTAGCTTCAGTTCTAATTCCATCTATTGCAGTCTAGTCACCCATCTTCCTGCCTGGAAATGTGCTATAAGTCCTATGCAGTAAATGGCCAGGTGGGAAAGAAAGAGGGACATTCACCAAACAGTGCTGCAATACCTCAGTCTCTGCTGTAAGACGGAGACATCTGAACCAACAGCAAACCTGTAGGCTTAGGGTGCCGAGATGATGCAGTTTAAGGGAATTTCCCCTGGGACTTGTCTCCACCCAGACTGCTTTATTGCAGAGTTCTGACCCAGGAATAAAATGTTACCCTTCTTCTTCATTGTTGGTCCACAGAGACTAGGAGCTAGGCAGGACAATTACTGTCTGCCTGTCCTTAATGAGATGCTCTGGGAGTCTAGCCCAGTGGGAAGGATGCTGCAGTAAATACCCATCTGAGTCCCCCAAACCTCCTTGCTGCACAGAAGGCTAGGATGGTGATCACCCACTCTTCGCTTGCTCAAAGCCCTCTTAGGATTCTAACCCTTTCCCATCCTTAGAATAAAGAACACCACTGCCCAGCAACTCCAAGGAAGTGAACATGGGCCAGTTACAGCACTGACTTGTGAGGTATTGTAATAGCAGTGCTGATGCCAATTTAGTTAATGAAAAACGATGCTAACTCCTCCATATTGAAGGACCAATAGCAACATTTGTGATTCCATGAGGCTAAATTAGAGCCGAACACAACAGTAACTAGCTATTTCTCATTATATTTTGAAAGTTCATTACACTCAGTGGTGTGTGTGTGTGTGTGTGTGTGTGTGTGTGTGTGTGTGTGTGTGTGTATACAGCATATGTGGAAGTCAGAGGATATCTTTTAGGGGAATTTCTTTCTCCTTCCACTATGTGGATCCTGGGTGCTTGACTCAGGGTGTCAGGCTAGGTATAAGTGTCTTCGCATATTGACATGTCTCTCTGGCCCTTGCTATTTTTCTTTTCCCTATGAGCTGCTAAGACTGGGGGAAAGACAGGGAAAGTTATCAGGGATTTTAGGGAAGGGTCATCTGTGTATGCATGAAGACAATATATGTACTAGTGTGTGTGTGTGTGTGTGTGTGTGTGTGTGTTACATATGCCACAATGCACATGTGGAGCCAAGGGACAGCTCTGTGAAAGTGGTACTCTCCTTCCAACTTTAAGTGTTTTGGGCTCAAACTCAAGCTGTCATGTTTGTTCAGTAAATGGTTTAACCCACTGAAACATCTTCCATCTCACGTATATATGTTTTTATGTTATAGTTAATAAAGCATAAGGGTGAATCTGGTGAGACCAGAATAATCTAGGATTGGGAGTTGGAGGTTGAGAGTATGAGCACTATGGGTAGATCCCGATTCAGCAAATCTAATGGAGGTTTTATTTTTTAAACACACACACACACACACACACACACACACACACACACACACACACTTATTTTATGTCTATGTGTATTGTGTATTTTCTTGAATGTATGATAGCAAAAGATGCAGTGCCCATAGAGGCCAGGAGAGGGCGCTAGATCACCTGGAAAACGGTTATACACTAAAGCTGGCCACCCTATGATTGAATCTGGGTCCTCTGGAAGACCAGGCATTTTAATAGTTAAAACATTTCTCCAGCCCTATGCAGATTTTTGTTTGTTTGCATTTGTTTTTTGTTTTGTTTTAAATATGGCAAGGTATGTAGTATGATTTGTTGCATTCAAACCCTTTAGCTCCTACATCTCTCTCTCTCTTCTCTAGCTGGGATCAGACCTATGGGAGGCACTAACCAGTCTATGGTCTCCGAGTTCCTCCTCCTGGGACTCTCCAGGCAGCCTCAGCAGCATCAGCAGCTCCTCTTCCTGCTTTTCCTCATCAGTGTCCTGGTCACTGTCCTGGGAAACCTGCTCATCATCCTGGCCATCGGCACAGACTCCCACCTGCATACCCCCATGTACTTCTTCCTCAGCAACCTGTCCTTTGTGGATGTCTGCTTCTCCTCCACATCTGTCCCCAAGGTGCTGGCCATACACATACTCAGGAATCAAGCCATTTCCTTCTCTGGGTGTTTCACACAGCTGTATTTTCTTTGTGCATTTGCTGTCATGGACAATTTCCTGCTGGCTGTGATGGCCTATGACCGTTTTGTGGCCATATGCCACCCTTTACACTATGCAACCAAGATGACCCATCAGCTCTGTGCCCTGCTGGTGGTCGGGTCGTGGGTGTTATCCAGCCTGAATGCTCTGTTGCACACCCTGCTCATGGCTCGACTCTCATTCTGTGCAGACAACATCATCCCCCACTTCTTCTGTGACGCCACTCCCATCCTGAAACTCTCCTGCTCTGACACACACCTCAATGAGCTGATGATTCTTTTTGTTGCAGGGCTGTTAATGATAGCCCCGTTTGTTTGTATCCTCGTGTCTTATGTCCTTATTGCTTGTGCCGTCCTGAGAGTCTCGTCCACAAGGGGAAGGTGGAAGGCCTTCTCCACCTGCAGCTCCCCCCCGGCTGGGGGCTGG